TTGTTTAATGTACATGAATCAGTTTGAAGCTGGAATAATAAACCTTCCCAGGTCAATGATCAGACACTGTTTCACCTCTGAGGTTCCTACTGATGGTTTTCTGCCTTTGCTTTACGCAAACCGCCGTATGAAGGCTCTAAACGGCCAAAACTCTCATTTCTCTAGATGTTCTCATAGAAAGGATGATCAGTGGGATTAATCAGCAGCATCAAGGCTTTTTTTCTTTTTATTATATCATCTGTATTGAGTCTGTTTTTTTGTTTCTTCTTGACTTTGAGTTAAATCACTGAGGTTAATATATTTTTTACCCTTGAATCTTTATCCAGTCTGCAGGCATTAATAAAGGTGGTTCAGGTTGAGGCTGCTCCTCACAGGGAGTGCCCACCTGAATGAACATGCTGCTAATCTGTTTATCTCTGCTCTGCAGCCTCAGTCTAAACGGGACGTTCTTCTAATCCCTATGGGAACATCAGCTAATACCGTTGCATAACGTTTCATCTTCACCAAACTTTAAAAGCTCAGCATTTTGGTAATCAAACCTCCATTTTCCCCCTAAACACCTGAGTTTTTATCTGCATAATCATCTGATATTTTCTGTTGATTCACATTAAAAACAGAAAACCTGTTTATTTTCTGGCTCTGTTAAAATGGAACGGGTCAGACTTAAATTACAGCAGGATTAGAGATCATGGACACCAACTTAACCTTTGTCCTTTCCTGGAGGAGATGAAGAGGTGTGTCCTGCGTCTGTCCCCCCCCTCACCTGTCCATCGTTTACCGGTTCTCCTTCCAACGGTTCTCTGATTAAAGGAAAAGTCTCGGAGGCGGCGGTGGCGCTGCTCTGACCTCAGCATGTGAGAAAAGCTTGTTTTATTTTCAGGGTCCCTGTGGACCAGCGGTTTGGAAAAGACTCCATCCATGTTCTGAAGAAGAGGAATTTGGACAGCTGGTGAGAACATCCATGTTTCCATATGCTAAACTATCTGGGATGCTGCATGGGTCCTTATACTACAACACTAGATCTGGGCGATATGGCTTAAAAATGTAATCTCAAATTTTTTATTACCAAATCCGAATAATGTTTCTCTTCTCACTTAAGTTTCAAAACAAAAACAATAAATGCTATTGTATATTTACTTCTTTCAAAAACTTTGCTTTCAGTCCCCCCCCCCCCCCCACCCCCTCTTGGGGATGATCTTCATTTAAAGGGAAACAAAATTCAAACATTTAGTTTGTTATATTTTTATTGTTTGTTGAGAAAATAGATTTTTTTTTTTTTACAAGCAGGTTTTAAATGTTTCCAGCTTTGCAGTGTCACAAACAGAGGCGTAGCCATACGTTTTTTTTATAAGGGTGGCCAGGCAATAAACAATGTAGACTGAGGGGTGGCAGAAAGTGGATCGGCACCAGAACTTTAGGGTTTGATCTACACTTTCCAACAGGAAAATTAACGAGCAAAAAATCCATATTTTCTAAATAAAAACAAACTACTTTCCTACAGCCATTGTTAACAAATAGGCGTCTGTAATTTCTAGATAAAAGGTGTAGTGGATAAAACTCTTTCTGGGGGTGTAAATCTTTGCCATTGTCATTACTTACCTACTTTTATGAATAAAAATTCTGCATAAAATTGATATTTACAAGTGCTAATATCTACATAAATTGATTATTTGATAAGTTTTCATTAAAATTGTCATTTATTTATGATTTCACTGAAGACTCAAAGATGACTTACAGAGACACATAAGTTTATCTTTACCCCATATAACACAAAATCTAGTTCTGAAAAGAGCATTAACTCTGTATTTATTATCTTTGATGTTAGTATATTGATGCATAATTCATCACAAGAAATGTAAATGTTTTGAATATTCCATTTAAGAGTATTACTGCTGCCACCATCTGTATTAGAGGGAAATAAATGGTAGGGGTGGCCACAGGCTTGGCCAATGATTGGCTAAGGGTGGCCATGGCCACCCCAGGCCCCCCCATCTAGCTCCGCCCCTGGTCACAAAGGGAGATAATTTATCAGTAATGAGGAGGCATAAACCGATGTCGCTCTGGGGCCAGAGGAGAGGATTGGTTAAAACCGAATTTAGATTTTTTTTTACTCAAAAATAAAGTATCCATTAAAAAAAACAAATGAAATAAATTGATAAAATCAATGAATCGCCCGACCTGATAAATTCCCATATGTGGAACTTGATTATTCAGAGATTCATGCTTCTAGCATCTTAAAAGCATAGATTTATGAATGTTTTAATGAGAAAAAAATAACCCATTTCTTTGCATGGATTGTTTTTTTTTTTCCTGCATAGTTTATTTATTTATTTATTTTTTTTTTACAGTGTCCTGTCTGGCAATGTGGCAATAAGAAAAATTGTCTTGATGCCAAAAAGAGCCCAACAGATTCTACTTTCACAAGTGTAGCAGTACAGCAATTGCCATATTGCTCCAATTGTTTCATGCATATAAATTGCTTTATTATAATTATGCAGGGAGTTTTACGGTTTATATGGACACTGCAATGTAAATAGAGCAGAAGAAGAAAAAGAGAAAAGGAAGAGGAGATAGAAAGACTTCTTTCCTGCAGAGTTTAAATGCTGAAAATGTTTTCTTTTCCTTCTGTTCAGCTGATCTGAGTCAGAACTTTTAAAGCTTCTGTATGTTTAAGGTCATCCTCCTTGGAACAGGGGTCGTCAGTCTGCGGGCCCCAGAGCCACTTGTAGCTCTTTGGGCCCTCCATTGTGGCTCCAACCATAAGAAATAATTAGATTTTCTTTAGGCAATAAGAAAGATTTCTCATCTGTGACAAAGGCTTTTAAAGGACTCATTGTTTTACAGCTTTAGTTTTTATGTTCCTATAAACTTTCATATCTACAGTGGCTCCTTCAGCTTCTACAAAAATAAAGAGTTCTCTTTCCTTTTTAAAGGTTAAATCATCAAAATGTTAAGTATTTGTTTAGTGTAGTTTTTCACAGATTTTACTTTGTAGGGGGAAAGCAGCTTTGAAATGAAAAGGTTGCAGACCTTTTTCTCTCCAATGTTCTTCTAATATTGTCCTCCATTCATTAGAAGTTTCCCCCCATGTTTCAGCTTTGGTTGGGATCTTATTATTCTGCCCTCATTATTCACGTTTTACTCCTATTGACCAGAATTCAAGCATTTTTTTCTCACTTCTCTTCCATAAAGACCAGATCAAAGCAGTAACTGATCAGAGGTTCGTCCTGTTTTCTTTTTTGCTTTGAAATAAACCCAGATTTAAACATCTCCAGAACTTCTTCTGGCTTCAGCAAAACCTCTGGCTCCGGAACAGCTGTAGTTATCCTGAGCAGAGGCGGGAAGAGTAACCAAATATCGTACTCAAGTCAGACTGATGATAATCCTATATAGTTTTACTCCAGTAAAATTTAAAGGAGCCCTCAAAGCAATTCCTCAGATAAGAGTACTGAGCAACTAATGAACATCTGATTAATATTTGAAAATAATGAGGTAAAAAATGTAAGATTCTTTACAGATAATTTAAATATTAAATACAAAAATATAATAAAAAAAATAATGCTTCAATATAAAATTAAAATAAATACTGCAAAAAATATTGGATCATCTGCTTTATACATTTATCTGAACTTTATTAACTTCCTCTTCTTCATCTATAAGATCAAATTTGTTGATAGATTTCTGCTCACAGAAGAATAAACTTCAATATACATAAAGGTTAGCTGATGGACAAAAAGGTAAATGGAAAATAAAAAAAGATTCACACTCATTTTTAGTTCATCCTAAAAAGTTTTTTATAAGTTTGAGGAGAGGACAAACGTTTTCAGCCTGCAGACATGGAAATGAGTGGGACGTCCCAACAACAAAGCTTGGCTACAAACAGGAGGTCTCACTTCAACTGAAATTGTTTGCATCTCTGATATATTTTTGGCCAAATTTAATTTTTTAATTAAAATAAGTTCCTTAGGTAGAGAAGCTTAGGCAGAAATGTATTTAAGAGTAATGGGGGAAAAAATCAATACGTTAATGCAACATGATGTTTCCTTTGGAGATTCATTTTGATTTAAATTGAAGTGATTCCTCCTAACAGGGTTGTTACAAATTTCAATTCCCAGAAAACTATTCAACAGTTGAAACCGTTTTTCTTGATGCCTTTAATTATTTGACAGTTTGGATACCATGGCGATAAAACATGACCAATAATTAAAGGGATAGCAAAATAATCTTAATATGAAAAACTCAATTTTTTTCATTCTCAACAGAATAAGATGCTAGTTAAATAAATGTGCTAATAAATGTTAATGACACAAATATAACACGATTTAACAATATTTTAAGGTTGTCTGAAGTATTAATCTTTTAAAGTGCAAATGATCCAGTAATCTGAAGTAAGTAATAATAAAATTACCCTTATCGTTGGTATTGATACCATGCTAATTAGTAATGAATCTGAATACAGCGTTTGAGTATTGATGTTCTTTAGAGTATGGATATTACTTCCTAATAATGACTAAAGTTAAAAAAAAATGAAATAAAGTGCATTAAAACTACTCCTGAGAGTACTTTCATTCTGTCCAAAACCTTTAACTACAATAGCAGAGAAACCATGGAAACCAATTTCTTAGGTGACCTGTAAGGTTGTTGTTTTTGATATGTTTTTTACTCTTTATATTTTATAGAACAAACCTCTGTTTGCAGAAACATGGATTGTTTGGTTTTAAATAAACGTATTAATTTAAATGACATTTGAACACATTTGTTCTCAATACCATGACCTCAGTGTTTAGTATTCTCATTTGTTTCCATGGAACAGCTAACCGGCCCACAGCATCACAGTTACTCTGCTGTGCTCAAGATGAGGTTCTGCATGCATAATTTCTGCTTCCCAGCTCAGATTAAGTCTCTGGTTAGTTCCAGTTAAGGTGTTTGGTTGATTTAAATCCATTTGCTCTCTATGCCATACTTAAGTGTAAAATAATAAATGGCTTATTTATGTAATTATGCTGCATCAGATGGAGCTTAATTTTTATTTAGTAAAGGCCGTCTCACCAGACTATGCTAAAACAATCTCTTAGTTTGCATAAAACCATGATGCCAAGCTTCATATACTTGTTTTTGACGTTATGGTTGGAGATGAATATAGGATTTACTGTAACAGCGCCATCTGGTGGATAATTTTTACCATTACAGTAGTGAGTGCTCTAGGTTTGTTAGTTTAGAGACTGTTTCTTTGAAATTTAGTGACTTAAAATGTGTTAAATTGTTTGCCTGACAAGGCTGCTTTAAGAAGTCACTGATGTAAATGTAACTGGTTAGTGTCCTACTCTGGTCCTAAAATAAAATGATAGATTCTTCACTAATTAAATGCCTCTGAGGCAAACAAAATGCTCTCCATGTTTTTAGGGAGGTCGGAGTAAAGGGGGGCACATTTTAATTTGCATTGGGTCTTTTTTCATTATTCTGATCAGTAGCTTTTGGCTTTTTAGGTTACAAAAGAGTTTCTCCTAAGCAGCCTGATGTCTCTATACGACTGGGGCAGACCTCATGGGTTGGTGTCCAGTGCTTCTGGAGGTCAGTCAGACTTTCCAGCTGTTTAGGGGGAGAACGCTGAGGGTTGTCGTCAGTTTTCGTCTCTACCTGTGACCGAGGCTCACTGCTCCTGTTTCTGTTTGGTAGAGATGCCTGGAAGCCAGTACCAGCTGACGCGCCCCAGACTCAGCCACAGCCTCTACAGCCTGACGGAGAGCTCAGACGGCAGCCATGAGGAGCAGGGGGGCGACGGCTCGACGCTCCTCACCCCCCTGCAGAAACTCACCGTGGCCATGTGCAAAGACGAGAAGACCATCAAGGAGCTGATCATCGGCCGCAGGGTGGGCTTCTACAAGGTCAGAGGGGAGATCGGCTACGGGACCTTCTCCAGGGTCAAACTGGCTTTCCACGCCCTGACTAGAGGTAGATGAGACTCAGTATCTTCATCAGCTCAGTTCTGTTGGTTAAAATCAGCTCCTTGTTTACCTCCGTCCTGCGTCTTCGTGTCCCTCAGATAAAGTGGCTCTGAAGATCCTGGACCGGACCAGGCTGGACGCCCAGGCCCAGCGGCTGCTCTCCAGGGAGATCAGCAGCATGGAGCTCCTGCAGCACCCCAACGTGATCCGGCTGTACGAGGTGGTGGAGACGCCGAGTCGACTCTTCCTGGTGCTGGAGTACGCAGGAGGAGGAGATCTCCACAACCGGATCTGCAACGAGGGAAAACTGAGCGACAACGCCAGCAAAATCACCTTCGCTCAGATCCTCTCTGCCGTCAAATACATGGTGGGTGAATCCTGAGCCGCAGCGGAAAGATCAGAAACACTGCGTCTCTCTACAACAGGCTGCTTTTAGAAGCTGCTGGGGCACCACCTATAGGTTTATCAGAGGAACCCCTCTGTGTGTCTTTATTGGTCCTTTTTTAGCTTCCAGAGAATACCAGTTAGCCGGTTAGCCGTTTCCATGGAACAGCTAACCGGCCCACAGCATCACAGATACTCTGCTGTGCTCAAGATGAGTTTCTGAATGCATTATTTCTGCTTCCCAGTTCAGATTTAGTCTCCTTTAATAAAGCTGGTTAGTTCCATCTAAAGGAAAAGTCCAATCAGCAAGGAACGATCAATGGATCATTATTATACCTAAAACTAATACGTTTGCGGTGATTTAATGAATTTAGCCTTAATCAGTAAAATAATAAAAGCAATAATTTGGGAGCGGCCATTTTTGGTCAATACAGTAACCCCTCCTTCCTGCCATCTTCTGTCCGTGACGTCACGG